AAACTTTCGGGATCAACAATACTGTGAAAATTTTCTTTTGTCAATGAGATAACTTCAGATGATGGTTCGTCAGCTTTTACAGTACTGAATATATTAATGGCCAAAAAGGCCAACCAAGCAAGTAACGTATTCTTAAGTAATAACATTGCTGAATGTACTGAATGCCTGAAATAAGTATTTGGAAACAGGATAACTGTGTTAATAGTGGAAAAAAACGCGTTTTATGGTATGTTCGTGCAACTTCTAACGTTGGCAAATTTTGATTGGGCTAAGCGAAATGACACTTCAGATCACCTATATTTTAGTAGTTTTTTGCGATTACCGTTAATTTAAGTATGGTATGATTGAGCATTTTGGTATGATATGATTAGTCAAATTCCATAACTTATCTTGTTTTCCTCTCTTTCGTCTCTTTCGCCTATTTATACTTTGATTTAAACTGATGGTGTTGGTAATTGGTTTTTTTATGAGGAAATTCTATTTATGTAACTAGATGGCAACTTGTCCGAATCACTTATTTAGCATTTTTGAACGCGAACTAGATTAGTTTTGTCGTTTCTATTTTCGCAAGTAAATCCGGCTTCTACAAGCGGGAAACGGGCTTTGCTGGCAGAAAAGATTGAACAAGGAAATCAAAAGGTAGACATTTGTTTTGACCTCGTCAGTAGGAATGGAAAGGTTTAATCTTACAACTCGTACTTATTAATAATCAGTTATGTTCCCGCAGACCAGGGATATCCTTTCCAATGATACGTCTCTCAGTACCAACGAGTGACGACGTACCATCCCAAACATTTTTGAAACAATATACATGTAGTTTCTCATTTATCCTCAAACAGCCTTATTGTACCAGCAAACATTACGAGTTAACGGGAAAAACGCCAGATATCTCTTTTTAAGTCAGGATACGTCTTGACAGTGGAAGCTCAAACAGAAAATTTTGCATTCATGTCTTCTCACATGGCAGATACCATAAAACGCTCTGTATAGTCCCCCCAAAGTATTTTCCAGTTTATGCACAAATATTTTTTATGGTGCGTATTTTTATTTATATATTTGTATTACTTAAATTAACAATGACGAGAAACTATCATCTATGTATTAGCATTAGAAATAACATTTAAATAAACGTTTAATTAAATTCACGTAATTTTTCAAGTAATGAATCTCTTCTAATTAAACAAAAGAACTGAATAATTTAATTATATTAACAATTCTTTATGCCATATTTAAAAGTAAATTAACAATGACGAGAAAAGAAACTATCATCTATGAATTAGCGTTAGAATAACAATTTCGTCAGATATCCCACAACATTTAAATGAACGTTTAATTAAATTTGGATAAGAGACACCCATGCAATTTCTACCCATTCATTCAGCGATTAATGTTTTTTAATACGATTTGAAGGTGTAAGCCCGTGAATTTCCATTGATTATATAGTGTACGGACCTTTTAATATTGTTACCATTTTAGTTGGGATTTATTCTTTTATGAATACGTTATGTAAGATACGTATAATCAAGTCAGTTGAGAGAGATAATATAAGTTATTGAAACTGTCAGTGAAAAGTTGATACTGTTTCCAAAGGTAGGTAATGTGTATTCATGTTGTAAGCAACTAGAATGAGCTCCAAAATCTTCTTTTCAACAAAGGTATTTTAAATTAATAACTTAAATAGTTTAGACAAGTAAAGCATTTTATTAAATCAATTCTAGTACGTCGGATCATGTGATAATAAACCGATCCAACCAATAAGAACGCGCAAAAATTCTGCGCAACCAATAGGAATGTAGCAAATTTTTGATCAACCTGGCAAAACAAATCCGGCACAAAAAATGAAAAATGACAAAAAATGCGAAAAATACAAAAAACAGATATCTAAATCTAGCTTGACGCATTATCAAAAAGGAAGCCAATATTATATATAATTTTGATTTCAGCTCTAATACCAACTCTAATACTTGATATCTAATATTATGCAGATATTTTAATGAATCTATTTCAGATTATATGAACTAACACCTTTTTTTTGCCATGGCTAGAATATTAATCAATTCAACATGACATTACAATTAAGATAAGAAATTATAAATAAACTAAACAAATATGATTTCACAATCAAAATAAATAATATTCAAATCATAACAAATAAAAAGTATTAATTATATGATTTTGATTACAATATTAATCATCTAATATTTCTTTTAATTATTATATAATACAGTCTCACTAGAAAGTAATAGCCAATTGATATTTATTAAATTAACATTAAAAATCACAGAAAATATTTACTTTTATGATTACTATAATTAATTGACTAAATATTTTTTTATAATGTTTAAAAATCAGTTTTTTAATAAAATTTTTGAAATATTAAAGATTTTTTTACAGCTTAATAATTTTAAAATTATATTATTAAATCAATTTTTGTTTATTAAAAAAAATTAATTTTCTAATTTAGATCTAGTTAATTTCAAAAAATCAGCATAAAATATCAATTATTTCTTAAAATATTTAAAAAAAAGTAAAAAAATTATTTTCTTTAAAAATTTTTAATAAATAAATTAATATATTATATTAAAAAAATATTAAATATTAATATTTTTAGAATATAATCAGTATAAAAAGTAATATTAAATACAATTTTTGCTTATAGCTTAATTAGAAATTTTTAAAAATCATAAAAATTTGTAGATAAATAGTTTAGAATATTAAAAAAAGATTTATTAATATTATAAAACATATTAATATAATAATATTTTGCAAAATTT